CTACTGCCCATTTGTGCATGCTACAGGGAACCACCAGTAAACAAATAACTTTGAACTAGCACAGATATAAAGGAAATAGAATAGAGATGTACATGTCACATTGCGTAACTCATTAAAGTAAATGGGAAATGGCAACTTTAGTAAAGGCCTCTGCTTTATCCTCACTCACCTCTTTGGGAGAGCTTAAAACTGTACTACTAGCCAGTACTACTGGTTTGGTAACAGAGACTGGACTGGTAAAAGCAGACTCCCGGCCAGAGGAAAGGGATCCTGATTTGTGTTCCATTCTGTTAGCTTTCCAAGCACTGGGCTACATGGGAAGAAAGAATAAATCCGTCAGAACAAGCATGCAGACAGAAACTCAGTCCTGTAAGAGCCTAAGGCAAAGAGTGAAATGTTATGTGGGAACATGAGTTCCCAGAGCTTACCTGTTTCACTATGTTTGGGAGGTATGCAACTTCTTAGGCATTTGAAATAAAAAGGCAGATGGGAACCAAAAGATCCACAGGATAGTAATAGGTATTTCTCAAAAAAGAGAACTCTAGTACAATAAGCCTGGGAGATACTGGGTTGAATCAAGTTCAACAGGTTTCTTTTCTTTCTTTTTAAAATACGTTTTTATTGATTTTTTTTTTTTAGAGCAAGAAGGGAGAGAGAGATAGAAACATAGATTGGCTGCCTCCTGCATGCCCCCCACCGGGGATCGAGATTGAAACCCAGGCATGTGCCCTAACCAGGAATTGAACTGGGACCTCCCAGTCCATGGGATGATGCTCAATCCACTGAGCCACACTGGCCGGGCTCAACAGGTTTCTTTACTGTGCTATTTTGCAAAGCATTTAACTGTACATGTGATTTTGAGAAGCAGATGTAATATACAGCATTTTCCAAACTTATATGACCCCGAGATGTTTTATGGTGTGTTGTTAACCTTGATGTAACCCTAATACCCTAAAAAGCAGCACACCAAAAAACTGCTGTTTCCCATGAACTTCAATGGGAGAAGATGAGTTCCATCCAGTCCAGGGTGGGCAATGTAAATGTCTGGACAATCCTGTTTAGTCCAGAGGCCCTTCTTCTGCTCAGCCTTGTAGGGTATGAGCACATTCTGTCACTCTGGCCCTGACCCCAACTACGATGACAGCATAGCTGGAATACAGTCAATCACACTGTCTGAAGAGAACAGGGACAAAGCATGTCAACTGAGTGAGGCAGACACAAGAAAAAAAACATCTCTTTTTCCAGAATGAAACCATGAAAACCAAGAGGCTTTCAACAAAGGAAGGGTCTGAGTGAAAAGAATTCCTTCTTGGTATTAAAAGAGAATATAATAGTCTTCAGGAAAGAAATTAACCAATTATCTACTATGTACCACATGCTTGTCATACTGTTTATTTTATTTAATTCTTAACTCCATCAGGTATAATTATGATGTTGATTTTTTACAGAGAATGACACTGAAGTTAAGAAAGTCATGCAATTTGTCCAAGGTTACTCAACTAGTATGTGATATTTTTTTAGACGACTCTATAAAAAGCACGCAAGCAGATAAGAAAGACAGATAAGAACATTGTTTTTCTTGCTGAAATATCTAAAGATGGCTGCTTATGTCAGGTTACATATCTGCGAGGCATAGAAACATAGAAACACCTGGGTTTCTGTCGTAGTACGGAAGGTTTATCAGGCAGTGTTACATGCAATAGGATACCTACATTTCTGCCCAACTTTATTCCAACTTGATCTTAATTTTCTTAAAAAAAAATTTTTTTCCCTTGATTTTTAGAGGAAGGGAAAGGGGGAGAGAGAGTAACATTAATGAGAGAGAACATAAATTGGCATGCCCCCACTGGGGATCAGGCCTGCAACCTGGGCATGTGCCCTGACTGGGAATCAAACTAGTGACCTCTTGGGGCATGGGTTGATACTCAACCACTGTGCCACACTGGCCAGGCAGTCCCTCCATTTTTTATCTACAAACACGATAAGCCACCTTATTAAAGCTGGGAGGTGGGGAACCAGATTTATTTTTCCTTAAACTACATCCTTATATTGTCTAACTTTTTAGCATAAGTCAGTGCCTGCTTTCACTTTCTCATTATTATAGTCACTATTTAATTCCCTGAAATATTCATCTCTATCCCTATGTTTTTTCTTTATTAATTTTGAGATAGGAAGAGAGATATAGAAACATTGATGAGAGAGAACATCGACTGGCTGCCTCCTGCATGCCCCCTACTGGGGATTGGGCCCACAACCTGGGCATGTGCCCTCATTGGGAATCAAACTGGTGACCTCTTGGTGCATGGGTCGACGCTCAACCAGTGAGCCACACCAGCTGAGCTCTATCCCAATTTTAGTAAAATAGCCTTTTCAGTAAGTCTTTCTCTACATGTTACTGTCTCCATTCCCCGATGCTTTCTCAGGGGTGCTCTACTGCTATAATCTATTTCTAGGAGAACTTCATTAGAAAAACTAGTTATGTGTAACTTTTGTTTAAACCGTTAAACATAGTGTGCTTTTATTTTTTGTAACAATAGTTCCTCTGCCTGGAATGTCCTACCTACTTGCTCCCTAACAAATTCCTGTTTTTGTTAATGCTCACCTGAGGATATTTTTCCACTTATTTTTTAGATAGAGTGGAACAGAGAGAGAAACACTGATGTGAGAAAGACACATTGACTGGTTGCCTCCCACATGACCCCAACCAGGGCCAGGGAAAAAACTGTAACCAAGGTACGTGCCCTTGCCTAAATCAAACCCATGACTCTTTGGTCTGCAGGTCAACGCTCTCTTAACTGCTCAAACTGGCCAGGGCCAAATTACTGTTTTTAAATTACCATTTGCTGGTTACTTAGGAGGTGCTAGCTAGTACTATATTTCAAATACTTTGAAAACTTTAATTTCATTCTTTTATCACAGTTATGTGACAGATATCATGATTATTTCCAATTTATTTTTAAGTATGTAAGTTTAAGAAAATTAAATAGGCGAGTTCCAGAAGCCTGGGTAACCCAGGTTCTGCTAGGAAAAGCCAAGCTTCCTAGAGAATGTTTCAGAGGAAGTTCTGTGGATTGGGACATGTTGTGGACTCCTAAGCTCCTGAACAGTATGAGGCAAGGATTTCAGAGAACTTGTAGCCAAAATACCCACTGCTATTAGCTTAATAGTCTTGACGGAGCTCCAGGAAGAAAGAAAAGCTTCCCTTTTTTGTTTTTCTTCTTTGTAAGGAGACTCAAACAACACACTAGTGATAAACAATTATTGAATGCTTACTTCAGTATGTGGATCACTAGGAATCCAAAGATATATAAGAGATCAGACGCTACCAAAGGAGATGGTGAGAGTATACAGACAAATGCTTGGAGACCATCAAGAAAGAGGTGGAGGCCCAATGAGAAGACAGCCATCTATGGACAAGGGTCCTCATCAAACATTGAATCTGCCTGTGCCTCGATCTTGGACTTCCCAGCTTCCAGAACTGTGAGAAATAAAGGTTTGTTTTTTATTTTCAAAAGGAAAAAAAAAAAAAAAAAAGGAAAGAAAAAAAATTAAATAACTTGCTCAAGATCAAAGCCCAGAGAGTGGTATAATGGTATAAAGCCTGACTATAAAACCTGAATTCTTACCCGGCCAGAGTGGTTCAGTTGGTTGAGTGTTATCCCGTGTACCGAAATGTTGCCAGTTTGATTCCCTAGTCAGTGCATATGGAAGGCAACTAATTGATGTGTCTCTCTAACATCAATGTTTCTCTCACCTTTTCTCTCTCTAAGCATGTCCTTGGGTGAGGATCAAACAAACAAAAAAACCACCTGAATTCTCAACTTCCCCTCTCCTTTTTATCCTTCTGGGGCAGTAGAAAGAACCCCGATTTGAAGTCAGATAGACCTGGTTTAAGAGCCCAGACTTCATTAGCTATATAACCTCACCACGTAATTTTCTACATATTAGGATTAGAGGAGTAAATGTTATAATATATGAAAAAGGCCTAGTGAATGTCTTGGAATATAGTAAGATGTCAATAAATGCCAACTGTTTCCTTTGCCACTTCAAAACCCAGTTCAAATTCGACCTTATCTATAAAAACTCTGAGGACAACCCTTGCCTTGACTGGTTGGCTCAGGTGGTCAGAGAATTGTCCTAATACGCCAACACTGCAGGATTGATCCCCAGTCCAGGCATCTGTAAGAATCAACCAATGCACTCAGCCGGTGATTCAGTGGATTGAGCGTTGTCCCATGGACTGAGAGGTCTTAGTTCAATTCCCGGACAGGGCATATGCCCGGGTTGTGGGCTTGATCCCCAGCAGGGGGTAGGAAGGAGGCAGCTGATTATGTTTCTCTCTAAAAAAATCAATAAAAACATTAAAAAAAAAATCAACCAATGAATGCATGCATGTCTCTCTCTCTCTCTAAAAAAAAAAGACTCTGAGGACCCTCTCCAGGCAGAGGAACAATTACTGTTTACCTGTTTCTTTCTGTACTAGACAATGAACTCTTTCAGATTATTTTATGCCTCTAGTGACCCACAGATTTTAGTACATAGACACTTAATGTTTAATAATTGTTTGTTGAACACCTAGAGAAAAACGAATGGGTAAATCCACATCTGCCTACTAGTCATTTCACCTCTTCCTTCCTCTAACATCTCACATTCAAGGTACCCAGAACCACTCCCATCAATTTTTACCTGAAACCGATCTCACTTCTCTAACTCTAGTGAAATGGTTCCACAGTTATTCCAGTTTCCCAGGGATGATTACTTAGTGTCCACTGTTTCCTTCTCATATGTGCCATCACCACCTCCCTTCTTTGCCTACTTTTATCATCCCTGTTTAGGCTTCATTACATTTTACAGGACAACAGCAGCAGCCTTTACATCAGTTTTCCTATCTTCAATCTATAGTCCTACACAATAGGGCTAACCTGATCCTAAGCTGTGTCATGACTTTTACCTTTGCCACTTCTTTACCTGCTGAAGATTTTATTTTTAATTTTGAACACAAAAATATGGAATGCTTCATAAATTTACATGCCATTCTTGCACAGGGGCCATGCTAATCTCTGTAATTCCAATTTTAGTATCTGTGCTGCCGAAGCAAGCATCACCCACTAAAGATTTTTGAGATACCCGAGGACACGAAGTAATCTTACTCGTTTTCACATTCTTGTATTGTTTAACAGAATGCTTGCAGACTTTTCAAATGAATAGCACTTACAAAAACTCTTCACAAACTCTTAAGGAATGAATCAAACGTAAGGTGCTGTTATGTTGATAGTAACAGCTATGATTTATTAGTACTTACTATATGCTAATTTTAAGTACTTCACAAAATTTTCTCATGACGCCTCAAAAAACCCTTAAAAGATAGGTACTATTACCTCCACTTTATAGATGAAACTTAGAACTTAAGAAACTTGCCCAAGGTCATACCACAAAGGTGCAAAGTGGAATCAGTCTATTCCAGAGTCCTGCTATTAATTTATATGCTATATTGTTTCTTTTCTTTTTATCCTCATCCGAGGACATTTTTTTGCATTTATCTTCAGATAGAGCGGGAGGAAGAGAGGGAAGAAAAGAGAGAGAGAAACATCGACGTGAGAGATACACATCCACCGGTTGGTTGCTATCCACACGACTCTAGCCAGGGACAAACTGCAACTGAGGTACATGCCCTTAACAGGAACTGAACCCGGGATTCTCTGGTCGACACTCTAACCACTGAGTCAAACTGGCCAGGGTTGTTTCTTGACTTAAAAAAATTTTTTTTCCTTTATTGATTTTTAGAGAGATATAATAGGAGAGGGAGAGATAGAAACATTGATGAGAGAGAACATCGATTGGCTGCCTCCTGCAAGCCCCCCACTGGGGATCAGGGCCACAACCTGAGCATGTATCCTGACCAGGAATCGAACCAGCGACCTCTTGGTGCATGGGTCGACGCTCAACCACTGAGCCACACTGGCTGGACACTATATTGTTTCTTTATAGAAGCTGCTCTCTTGAGTTGAATTCACATTCTTTACATTCCAAATCAGAGGAACAAGTATCCTAAACCCTTTCCAAAAATAATTCCACCTGTCAGTTTTATTTCTGCTATTTCTTATTGGACCATAAAATCCTTTAACGACCTTTTAAAAAAAATAAAATAAAGAATCTCATATTGTTTTTCTTTTTTAAATGGGTTTTATTGCTTTTTGAGAGAGAGGGGACAGGAGAGATAGAAACATCGATTGGCTGCCTCCTACACACCCCCTACTGGGGACTGAGCCCACAACTTGGGCATGTGTCCTGACAGGAAATTGAACCGGGACTTCTCAGTCCATGGGAGGACACTCAATCCACTGAGCCATAACGGCGGGGCTTTTAATGACCTCTTTCAAGTATATTTCAAGGTGTCTCAAGGGGCTGCTTTTTATTTATTTTTATTAAATTTTTTTTTTCTTTATTGATTTTAGAGAGAGGAAGATAGAAATATCAATGAGAACATCAACTGGCTGCCTCCTGCATGTCCCCCACTGGGGACTGGGCCCACAACCTGGGCAAGTTGCCCTGATCAGGAATCGAACCGGTGACCTCTTGATGCATGGGTCAACACTCAACCACACCAGCTGGGCATGCATTTATTTTAACTAAAATTTTTATTTAATGGTTCAAACCACAGTGCCAAAATACATGGCCATTTAAAAAATTTTCACTAAAGGCAAAAAATACTATAGAATTCATAGTTGCAGAAGGCTACATAAAGTTACTTTAATATTACGTCAGACTGCAAAAAAATGAAAACAAAAACCCTAGATGCTGTATCTAGTTATCCATATCCCAAAAATATGCAATTTGTTAGCAATTCTTAAACTATAATGGTTATAAACCACAAGCACATCTCCAGAAGCTTCTTCCTTAAGATTTTCTTCATCCTTTCACTTAACCTCACTACCACCTATATTCTATTTCCTTTTACTGTCAAAGTCTCGAAGGTGCCACTATCTCCACTTCAACCCACATAATTCTAGAATCTCCTGAATTGTTCTTTCAGCCCTACACTACTTTACTAAAACTTTAATTAAAAGTTTACCAAAAACTTAGAAACTGCTAAGATCAAAAACATTTTTTCTGTTATTTTTCTCAACTTCTCATTAGCAATTGACAAGTGTTGACCACCCTGGCTGCTATCTAAACTCACTCACCTAAGATTTCTTTTATAGTATAGCATTTTTTTTCTGTCTGAATTACAACTTCTTGGTCCTACTGACTATGTTGTTATTTTCCCAAAATTTATGAAATAATAAGTATTTTCCCCAAGTCTTACTTCCCTATTCTTTTAATTTTTTTCCCTTTATTTAACAGAGAGAGGAAGTGAGAGGGAAAGAGAGACAGAAGCATCCATGAGACTGAACATTGACTGGCTGCCGCTGGCATGCCCCCCACCGGGGATCAGGCCCACAACCTGGGCATGTGTCCTGCCTGGGAATCAAACTGGTAACCTCTTGGTGCATGGGTCGATGCTCAACCACTGAGCCACACCGGCTGGACTTACTTCCCTTTCTTTACTCCTTCTTTCCTCTTAGAGATCTCATCTTCCCTGAAAGCTTCATTATCACTAGGATAATGACTCTTAGTCCTGATATTTCTCTAATGATACCAGTAGTAATTAAATTGTTTCATGCACTAGCCCTCAAATATGCTTAGTGTTTTCTGGTTTCAGAACTTTCATTTAATTACCTCTTCTCTCTCTCTCTCTTTCTTTATTGATTTGAGAGAGAGAGGAAGGAGAGGAAGAGATAGAAACATCGATGAAAGAGAACATCGATTTGGCCGCCTCCTGAATGTCCCCCACTGGGGATTTGGCCCACAACCTGGGCATGTGCCCTGACCAGGAATTGAACCGTGGACCTCTTGGTGCATGGGTTGACGCTCAACCACTGATCCACACTGGCTGGGCAAACTACCTCTTCTCTTATGATTTGTATTATTCTATAGACTCTTCTGCCTATTCAAATTTGGACTGTTCTTCAAAGATCAATTCAATTTTATATTTTTGGTAAAATTTTCCTTGATGGTCATAGTCTGAACTGATCTCGCTCTTCTGAATTGTGTAAATAAATAGTGTTTAATTTAGTTATTCAAGTCTGTTTAGGATTTGCTATTAGAATCTGTCATTTTATTTCATACACAATCACATGACCTTTTATATGTTTATATCTTGTTAACACAATTAGACTTTCAGTTCACGGAGGGTCATGACCAATGTTATCAATGTTATACTTCCTTGTATTTCTCATTAGCATCAAACACAAGTGTTTGCACACAGTAAATTCCAATTGTTTTGTTATAGAGGCTGGAATTCAATCAAACAATTATCACATGCTTTTGTGAGAGTATTAGGGATACAATATGAAAAGGATCTGAAACCTGCCTTTAAGTAAATTACAACCAAATGAAGAAATACAAAAGAAGCAATAAAGTGTTATAGAGACCATGGTAAGAGACTGAGGGGTATTCAGTCATAGAGCTATAGGGGTTAATTATATCTTTAGGTGTATGTGATAGAAAAGGATTCACATAGAAGATGACACGAACCTGAAGGATAAGTAATTTCACAGGTAAGAGAAAGAAGGGGCAGTAAAATGTAAAAGGTGGTCTGGGCTTAGACTATAAAGAATTATATACACCATTACTAAGGAGTTTGGACATTGCTTTATAAGATCATGGGTTGGCCAGCTCTGACCCATGGGCCAAACAAAAACCATGTATCATATGTGACCAGCAAAGCTTAAAATATTTATTATCTGATCTTTTACAGAACAGTTTACCAATCCCTACTAAATAGATGGTTGGGAACCACTGAAGGGATTTAGGAAAGGACGTGACATATTCAAGGATGATCATTCTGGCAGTTCTGTGGAAGATGAATAGAAAGATGAGAAAATAGAAGTATATACAATAATAGTAAAGGTGAGATGACAAGGGCATAGGACATTATAGAAGGAGTAACTGATGGACTTTATAGGGGAGTGAATAAGGAGGAAGAGGAAAGAAGCAGTCAAGAAATTTAACTAAATGATCAAATGGATGAAATAGCAAGTCAGAAGAAACAGGTTTATGAAATGAGGGTAATGAATAAGAGGCCTACTAAAAATCTAGCTGGCAGCAGTAGTCTGGAGACAGAATACAGTAGAATATGTATAACAAGTTCTGAGTATCTGGTGAATGATTCAAAAGAAAAATACAAATTTACTTTTTCCTGATTTATTCCCAAACCTCTGCCCTATAAAGTTTTTACAGATTTCAACTCATACCTTGGAAGGAGGTGGTGCAGGCTTAGGAACCAGGTTCTTATAGACACTTGGAACCAAGTTGGATGATTTGTTCCCATTTGCATGGTGATATCCTGGTGAGGTGAATGCAGCAGAGAAGGCAGCAGCAGGATCTTCTTTGGAAACTTTTTTGATAACTAGCATTTTGGAGGTTTGTTTGGCACCAGGTGGATTTTCTGTGAAATACAATAGTGTAGAAACAAAAGAAGTTAACAAGAGGTACAGTTTATATGAATGCCTCACTTTCAACAGAGTTGACAATCAAGACTGAGGGACAAACATTTCCTGGTGTGCACTTAACAGACATTCTCAAAAGCTTGGGAATTATAGAAAGAAAAAAAAAAGACAGCATATTAAGCACTTGATTCTAAATTCATAAATCAACCAGAAAATCCAAAGATGTTAATAGTCTTTCAGGGACATACCATGCCTAGTGTACGGTGTATCACTGAGGCACAGACCAAACAAAAATATATCCAAGGGTGGCAGCTCCTGTCAGCATGGGAATGGAGATGAGGAAACGGAATACACTGCCACAGGACCTTCTCATTAGCCAAACTGAAGCAAAGCTATATATCATCAACAAAGGGGAAATGGTACAGCAACCATCCTTAATCCTGAAACTCAAGATCCAAACACAGTATTTAGATAAAGCCTGCACAATAAGACACCTGGCTACCGAACATGTCTAATGTAAGGACTAGAAGAGTCCAATTTATTTTTATTTTTCAAAATTGACTGATTTTAGAGAGGAAGGGAGAAACATCAATTCCACTTATTCATGTTTT